AGATTCTCTCTCCCCCTTTCCCTCTGCCTCTCCCCTCACTCCTGAGCCCTCTCTCTCTCTCAAATAAGTAAGTAAATAAATAAAATCTTTATTTAAAAACAAAATAAATAATCTTTTTTTTTTTTTAAAGATTTTATTTATTTTTCAACAGAGAGAGAGAGACAGTGAGAGAGGGAACACAAGCAGGGGGAGGGGGAGAGGGAGAAGCAGGCTTCCTGCGGAGCAGGCAGCCCAATGCGGGGCTCGATCCCATCACGACCGAGCCGAAGGCAGACGCCTAATGACTGAGCCACCCAGGCGCCCCTAAATAAATAAATCTTAAAAAAAAAATTCTCTTGGGGTTTACTGAACTCCAAAGTCAGGTTTATGATTTGTGTAAATGCCACTGAGCAGAGTCCCTTACTTCTCTTTTGACTTTTTTCTCCCTATTCTGCTTGGAAATTTTTTATTTAGTTTGCATATTATTCCAAATATTTTATTATATTATATTTTATTTGTTTCCTTTGTATTTAAATTCAAGTTAGTTAACATGTAGCATAGTATTGGTTTCAGGAATAGAATTTAGTGATTCATCACCTACATCTAACACCCAGTGCTCATCACAAGTGCCCTCCTTAATGTCCATCACTCATCAAGCCCATCCCCCGCCCACCTATTGCAAATAATTTCTGTTTTACATGTGCATCCAGGTTTAAAGAGAAGAATTTGATGTTTCTGTTCCCATCATTACAACTGCAGCAGAGCAAGGGTTACCACATCCCAGCTCCCTAAATTGGGAAGTCTCAAGGGTTATAAAGAAGCAAAACAAAAACACAAGATATTTCCCTGTATTGCAGCACTACGTAAAGTTGCAATTGGAATTTTTGAAAAAAATTTTTATTTTTATTTTATATAAGTAGTCTCTACGACCCAACACGGGGCTTGAACTCACAACCCTGAGATCAAGAGTCACATGCTCTTCTGACTGAGCCTGTCAGGCACCCTTGTAATTGGAAATTTTGTATTTTTTTATCATAAACATTTCAGTATTGCTAGTTTCTAATTCACCATTTTGCACTGCTGTATTGTTTTTCCATTGAGTGGTTATACTACCATTCATTTGGGCATTTTCCTTGTGTAATTCCCAATGTTTCACCATGGAACACCATGAACATCTTCACCACGGAACACCACAAACATCATAAACCTTTCTTGAAGTTATTTTTATTTTTTTTAAAGATATTTATTTATTTAATTATTTATTTATTTATTTAGAGATAGAGCACACGACGGGGGAGAGGGGCAGAGGGAGAGAGAAAGAATCTCAAGCAGACTCCCCTCTGAGCACGGAGTCCAAATGGGGACTTGATCTCATGACCCTGAGATTATGACCTGAGCTGAAACCAAGAGTCGGACTCTTAACAAATGCATATAGATAGATAGATGATTTTTCCTCCTACTATTCCACTATTTTTCACACAAAGGGTAGCATACCAACTGTCTGCACCTGGCGACCAGGTAGGCAATTCAGAGAGCCAAGAATTACCAGGTATATCAAACTGAATAGGATGCAAAGGCCACTGCTCATACCCAAGGGGTCATTTTGCACATTGTTCTGGAGTATGGGTTGACAAACTGAGGGGAAGTTTTTTTTCTGTCAATGACTGGCTGCAGTGCCCACCCTCTTAGAATAGCTAGGAGGTTACAGGGATATGAGCTGGGTCCACCCAATGCCCCAGTAGGTGCCTGGGCTGACGCAGTGAGTCTCCCTCTCCGCTCAGCTTTGTGCTGGCTAGATAGACAAACATGATTTTCATTAAGGATATTTCTCTGGGTGATTCTGGGTGAGGCACAAGACAGCCAAATTCTATAGCTCGTTTTCTAAAACTTCTTCCGGGAATAGAAGATTCTGTAAAAAGATGAACAAGGAGAAAGGGCCTGATCACTTGTCAGAGGCTGGGAAAAAAGCCTTAAGCACTGAGCATGTGCTTCATTCACAGCAAATATTCAGCAAATGCCTCCTGTGGCCTGAGAAGAGAGAGATGGCCTTGGCCCTGGGGTGGAAAGGTTGCATCTAGAAGGTAGGACACATAGACAGTGCTTCATTTGCATTTTATTTGACTAGTATTATCATAAAACCCTCAGCCTTACTTCCTTCATTCAGCTTGGCAGTGTTACTTGGCTCTGTCTTTTTATCCCCTCTGCCATCTTTTAGTTTTATAGTTTACCCAGACGCTACTCATTCCTCTCTCTATTTCAGTTTTTATCTTACTGGATTTCCCCTGGAGAGAGGGGTCCATAAAAGCTGGTGTCTTTGCAGGAACATTTAGAAATAGCTAATAAGATCATCAGAAAGGGCTGACTCTAACTCTCTCATTTGATGGATATGGAAACTCAGGCCAGTAGGTTAACCATGGTGGTTAGTTGAAGCAGGCTGGATAGGCCCCCTTCCTTTGGACCTTCTTATGGAAGATCTGAGGCAAAATGTCAAGATTCAATCTTCTAGCTTATCAATAGCTGTCACCTTGGATGGAGGTCAGCTGATAAGCCTCAGGTTTTAACTACTCTGAATTGAAATTATTTTACTGTTTATTACATACCCACCACTAGAATGGCTAAAATTAGAAAGACTGAAAATACCAAGGAAATAAAGCAACTAGAACTTCAAACATTGCCTGTGGGTTTGTAAACTGATCAGAACACTTTGTAAAACTGCTTATCTCCTGTGTCAACTATACTAAAAACAAAAACAAAATCTGCTTATCTACTAAAGAGATAGCCTATGTCCTAGCATTTCTACTTCTACATATTTATCCAAGAGAATTAAGCACATTTATATACCAAAAGATAGGTACAAAAATGTTCATTGCATTCCATTTTTTAGAATGGCTAAAAATGGAAAACAATGCAAATGTCCTTCATGAAGAGAATGGATAAATAATTTGTGCTATATTCATACAATGAAATACAACACTGGAGAGACAAACTAAAACCATTCCATTTATATGAAATTCAAGAACAGACAAAATCTACTTTATGGTGATTCTTGGAGGAAGGGCTGGGAGGCAAAGGTATACTAAATGAGAGAACCCGGGGGATGCTGGGAATGTTCCTGATCTTGGTCTAGCTGGTAATTAATTACACAGATATAAATGTAAGTAAGTAAAAATTCAGCTTAAGCTAAACATTTCAAATTTGCTCATTTCCTGTATACCTCAATTTTTAAAAAGTGTCCTATGTTGGATCTGCATTGTATTAAAGACAATGCAATAAAAACACTTTTATCATTTCAAAAATATTTTATTTTTAAAATTCAAGGTTATCAAGTTTACTGCTTTCGTTATCCCATACCCAGCAGATTGCATCACCTCCAACCAGTTTGCCTGCTATCAATTCCTCCTCACTGACAGGTGGGTCTGCCAAGCACATACTTGATTTGGCTAATCGCCAGTTTAACAAACGTCCCTGGCTGCCATGTGTCTGTGGAATACAGGACAAATACCTCACTGAAGCAAACAAAGACTTTCCTAATTCACTCCTTATCTGCTTTTTTGGATCAAGGATTTCTTTCTTTCTTTCTTTTTTTTTTTTAAGATTTTATTTATTTGACAGAGAGAGACACAGCGAGAAAGGGAACACAAGCAGGGGGAGTGGGAGAGGGATGAAGCAGGCTTCCCGCGGAGCAGGGATCCCGATATGGGGTTCCATCCCAGAACCTCGGGATCATGACCCCAGCTGAAGGCAGACGCTTAACGACTGAGCCACCCAGGCGCCCCTCAAGGGTGATTTCTATTCTCCATGTCCTTAACCCCTAGCACACAGAACTTTCCACATTTCTTCACCTTTGAACTTCTGACCCATATTTCCACTATCCTACCCCTGCTTCTTTCTCTATCAAATTTCTCCTCACATTTCACTGTCCAGCTCTCAACGACTCACTCTTAAATGTCCACTGATTGTTTCCAAAACCCTCAGTTCCCACCATCCTGACTTTTTAAGCTCCGTGCATTCACCATATTAAAACCCCCATATTTTATACTATCTACCCCCTGAATTTCCTGAGAGCCCGCATCATTTCTCTTCATCTCTGGATCCCTGTGCTCAGCACTTTGCTAAACAAATGGGTGCTATCAGAACTGAATTATAAGTTTCATTTTTGTCCCAGACTTCTGGTTTTCACAGTAATGTTGCTTCCTATTAAATTCTTCACTGTAGCAGACTCAGGGATGAAAGTGGATACAGACGAGATAGCTTAAATTAGACACTAATTAGTGTTGTATCTAGTTTGGGTTTCCTATTTTAAGAGAGACAAGTCTCCTGCTCTGTCCAATAGGATAACCGCTATTATGTCGCTATCTAAATTAAGTAGAAGTAAATAAAATAGCAAACTCAATTTCTCAGTCTCACTAGCCACATTCGAGTACTCAAAAGCCTCATGTGGCTAGTGGCTACCATACTGAACAACGCAGAATGTAACATTTCCATCACGGCATAAAGTTCTACGGGACTGCGCTGAAAATCTCTGGCCTTTACGCTTACGAGATCTCCCCTCTTAGAACACCCTTCCATCCCCTTCCCACAGTGCTCCCCCTATAACCATCACCAGCCTTATTGTGTTTGTAATTGCAGGGTTCCAGGACGGCAGGGACTGTGCCTTACTGCTGTAACTCCAGTGTTTAGCTTTGAAGCCCAGCGCAATTAGTAGGCGCTCAGTAAACGTTGATTTAATAGGTGATAGGGCAGGAGGGACCTTCCAGATACACCAGCCCCAAGCCCTTTCCCATGCTGATCAGTCCTTTAGGTGTCTCCGGCACTTTTCATTTTTTATCTTAAAGCATCGCCCTGGAGAAGAGAGAAAAGCGCCATGCACGCACCTGCTGATTCTCAATTGCCAGGCGGCCGCCTCAGGCTCTGGCGTCACGGGCCAGTCGCACCTTTGCTCGGCTCCGCCCCCTCCCGAACCCAACAGAGGCCAAGAGCTCACGCCGACACCGCCCACAATCCTCACTGCGCAAGCGCAGCCTGCGAGCGTAGGGTGTCTCGAGGTGGCCGGGTGCCCGCGCTGAAGAGCGCGGGGGTTTGTGGCCTGCGTTCGGCAGGCTCCAGTCGCCCACTATCCGAGGCAGCGAAGCGCAGCGATCCGTCTCCCCGCGCCCTGGGCAGTGTGGCCATGGAGAACCAGGTGCTGACGCCGCACGTCTACTGGGCTCAGCGACACCGCGAGCTGTATCTGCGCGTGGAGCTGAGTGACGTGCAGGTAAAAGCCGGTGCGGGCGGCGGGACGAACGCGGGGTCTCAGCTCCCGGGACCTTCCGATCTCCCCCATCCCCTTTGTCCCGGTGCGCGAGGGAGAGCTTGCAGTGCGCCAACGGGGTCGGCGACGCGGTGCACTTTGGGCGTCCGGGCCGGGGCAGGGGCTGGCCCTCGTCGAGGAACACTCGTGGACCCCGGGCCTGGGGCACAACCCCCTGAGGGCTGCGGGTACTTTCGGATGCTGCGTGAGTCCTGTGCGGCTCTCGGAGGCTGCCCCGGGGCCTTCTCTTTGTTCCTAGCCTGGTGGAGCCCGCGCCCGGCCCGGGAGGCCTAGCCGTCGGGGTTCGGGTTTGCCTAGGCCCTGCGAGGCATAGGATGAGCTCTTTGGGCCGGGGGTGCAGAATGACGGTGGCTTGCTGGGTCCTGGCTGGACGTCTTGGCGCTGGCCAGAGAGGTTCAGCCAGGCCGGTCTGACGTTCACAAGGCCCGTCGCGGCTGCCCCCAGAGGGGCCACACCCACCTTCCAACCGTTCAGTGATGGAAGTCATTCTTGTTAATTTTAATTTTAAAATCCGGAAGACCCGGAGAAAGTGATTTTCCGTCTGTTCTGAAGGCTGTGAGCTCGGGTTTGCGGAGTTGCATAGAGAACTTAAAAATTAAGTTACATAGAGCATTTATGTTTGATTTCCTTAGCTCCCTGTATGAACAAGCCCATGCCTCCTAAATGGTGGAGATACCAGGACCTGTGTACCCCCTGCCTCTGTCCAAACCATCCAGGATTCCAGGTTTTGAGAAACTGGAGTTTTCAGGCTGGAATGTTCTTTCTTCAGTCAATCCTTACTACTTCTCCGTGACATCTATGGCAATTTGTAACCTCCTTCACTCCACCTAACTTTTGCTGCCTTTGACTCAGTCGGTCATATTTCTATCTGTCCACCTGTCTGGCATATTTCTTGCAAAGTGTAGGTAGGTGCTCTTTGGGTGTGGATTTGAATTTGTTGAATTGAATCTTTGTTTCTGGAATCTAAACCCATTTTCCCATTGACACATAAAGACAGTACTGGCCAGAAAGCCTTTAAATAGGATAGGACAGTGCATGGTGTGTCATTTAATGTGTTAAACCAGATTGAATTATACTTTTGCATCAGAAGATGAGTAAATGGTCTGTGCTGTCACCCTCTACTGTGCTCCAGGGTGTTGCAGTAAAGAAGGAAACAAACAAAATCTTTGTTGATGGGGATCAAAGTCTCCATCTGGAGAGGGTTCTCAGTAACTGTGGAACATGTGTTATGACAGTCTCTTTTTTAAAAAAGTAATTTAGCCAAGTGTTACGTAAACAGATTACACTCAGGCCCTTCCCTCTCTAGATGTTATCATGTAATAAGGATGTATTGTTCTGGGATACAAGCTGCAAACACTAAAGGTGTTTTTAGGGGAATAGGTTGGTGGTGGTGGTGGAAAGAAATGGAAATTAGTTGGACAATGAAAGAATGCATCATGTTTATGTTTGTCTTGAGAGATCTAAACCTCTTTGTTAAGAGATATGAACACATGTTAATCATATTTGGTATATTTAGAAATATGAAAGGTATACATTTGAAATGTATTATATTTAAAGAAATGCAAAGGTGGAGAAAAAAATGGAAGATTCTTTTGGAGAGAGAAATCCTTTTATTTTTGGGAAAAAATAAATATCCCCCCCCCAAAGCAATGTTTTAATACCACTCATAAAAGAAATCCTCTACCATGTGTGAGGTACTAGAGATTTACGGAGATGAGTCAGACAGCCTCAGCTTTCCAAGAGCATACTCTCTAGAAGCAGCATATTATCATATACAGACAAAAAGTTTTGTGTAGGAGTATGTTTATTGGTAGAATTGAAGTTGAATATTAACCAGGTCTCTGGTGTTAAAGGAATTTGTTACCTCTCTTATGTTTAGTTAGAAATGACTTCCAGAAATGAGATGAAGTGTTCTTGTCAAACTGAGATTGGAAGAACGTTCCAGGAAGAGAAAGGCGTAGACTCTTAGGTTGTCTGACTTGTACCATGTCAATGCACTGCAGCCAAAGACTGCCAGGAAACACCTGTGGTTAAACGAGTTGGGTTTATTACTCATTTCAGCAAGGGAGAGCATAGCCCGTGGGGGACAATGATGTCTTATTAAGGGGGTTAGACCTGATTATAGGATTTGGATGCTGTCAGAAAACGGGTAATTCTGTGGCTGGTTATCAGAATAAATCTTACCTGTAGGGAGGAGAGACTAGCAAAAGAATAAAAGTAATTGGTAGAGAAGTCGCAGTCACTCATTTTGGCCAAGACAGAAAGGACGTCTGGTATTTTGGGAGTGGCATAGCAGCCACGTTTTTGTCTGTGCTTACACAAAATTATGAAATGACTTTTGTCGGGGTGCCTGGGTAGCTAAGTTGTTAAACGTCTGCCTTCGGCTCAGGTCATGATCTCAGGGTCCTGGGATTGAGCCCCGCATCGGGCTCCGTGCTCGGCAGGAAGCCTGCTTCTCCCTCTCCCTCTCCCCCTACTTGTGTTCCCTCTCTCGCTGTCTCTCTCTCTGTCAAATAAATAAATAAAATCTTAAAAAAAAAAAAAAGAAATGACTTTTGTCTCATTTTGTCAAGGTTCCAGAATAACCTTGTCCAAGGTTGGTATTCTGTGCCATTATGTCCAATTGGAGAATAACATGGCTGAGCTGTGAGTGACAGACCACCCTCTGAATGTCAGGAGCTGCTGTTTTTGTTTTTGTTTGTTTTGTTGTTGTTGTTTTTTAATTTCTCACTTAATTGCTCAGTGCGGGCCTGTCGAACCTGTGATTCAGGCTCTGGATGAAGCAATTCATTTTTCAATGGAAAGCATTTGGGGAGTGCCTACTCCTAGCTCATTAAGCTAGGTGCTGGGTTGTTGGACAGCTCTCTGTTACCCTCTGCTTTCTGGTGTTTCCCACAGTTACTGAGTTTTAGTGTTGAATTCCGATTTGGGGACATCAGCTCTGCTCCCCTCCCTTTCTGAGACACAGAGAACTGTCCAGTTTTCACATCTCTATTCTGTCCTTGGAGGTGCAGGGCTAGTGGCTGCTGAGAAATGACTGTTAATGTGAGGAGGGATGGTGCTCGGTAAAGACTTACAGCAGCAGTCTTGTCTGTGTTTGAGGTAAGCAGTAGCAAAGATGTCAGCTGGAGTCCAGGGGGCCAGGGCAAGGCTATTTTCAGAATAGAGTTTATTTTCAAGATAAGCATAATAGACAGCTTTGTGCCAACAACCATAGTTGTTAAAGCATTTGTTCATTTATCAAGGTTTTGGTTTGTTTTAGTTGTATGTGGACAAAGTGCATACCTTTGTTTGGGAGCTGTTTGACAGATACTGTTCTTGTCCTTACTTGATAGGCACTCTGGTAGAAAGAGGGGTAACCGAAGATAGGGGTGGAGATAGGGGTCTTGGGCTTCTACTTCCTACCTGGTGGCCATGGATAATTCACTTAATCCTTATGTCCCTCAGTTTCTTCATCCAGATAAATGTGAAGGCACTAATTCACAGGATTGTTTTGAGGTCTGAACTAGACATTGGATTTGAAAGTGCTTTGTAAATTCTAGTTTGCTATTCAAGTGAAAGGATTATTATTGTTATATTAAACCTTAGATGAAAGAGAGAAACACAAAGAGCAATAGGATAGGGTAGAGTCTATGAGCAGAGTTATCCATATATGAAAACGTATTGTACAGCAGAGGTGGCTTTGAATATTAATAGGGCAAAGGATGAACCATTCAGGAAATTGTTTGGGGACAGTTAGTAATCCAAATAGCGAAAGATAAAATAAGATCTTGCCTTATGTCATACATAAAAGTCAATTCCAGGGGGGTTAATGACCTGAATGCATAAAGCAAAACTACTAAAAGAAAATATAGGAGACTATCTTTATGGTATTGGAACAGGGAATAATGTGTTAAATAAGACACACAAAACATAAATCCTAAAGATTAACTGATTTAAGACAAGCTTGAAGAAGATATCTACAGCACATATCACAGACAAATGACTAGCATCTGAAATATATAAAGAACCACCTACAGACCAATATGAAAAAGACATATTACCCATTAGAAAAAGGGGCAGGAAATATAAGCAATTCAGAGTAAAAGGAAACAAGAATGGCCAGTAAACCTAAAAAGATGCTTGATCTCAGTTGTAATCAGGGACATGTAAATTAAAGGAATAGTATTTGTTAGAATATGATAATATATTTCTTATATTAGATTGGGAAAAATGGAAAGTCTAACATTACCAATTGTTGGTGAGATTGTTCAGCAGTGGGACATTTTTTTTTAAGATTATTTATTTATTTGTCAGTGAGAGAGAGAAAGGAGAGAGAGCACAAGCAGGGGGAGCGGCAGGCAGAGGGAGAAGCAGGCTCCTCGCTGAGCAGGACCCTGGGACCACAACCCGAGCCATAGGAGACGCTTAACCAACTGAGCCACCCAGGTGCCCCGCAGTGGGACATTTTTATACAATTTCCCCCTGCCCAACCCTTTTAAAGACCACCAGGAACAGCTTGTTTTTTTTTTTTTAAATTAAATTAAATTTTATTTATTTAAATTCAGTTAATTAACATATAGTATATTATTCATTTCAGAGGCAGAGTTCAGTAATTCATCAGTTGTATATAACACCCAGTGCTCATTACATTATACATCTTCCTTAATGCCCGTCACCTAGTTACCCCAATCCTTCACCTCCCTCCCCTCCAGCAACCCTCAGTTTGTTTCCTATGATTAAGAGTCTCTTACGGTTTGTCTCCCTCTCTGATTTCATTTTGTTTTATTTTTGCCCCCTCCCCCATGCTCCTCTATTTTGAGAAACATCTTGTTTTAACAAGTGGGTTTATTGCTTGTTTCGATGGGGGAGAACACATTTTGGGAATCGTGGGGCGTCTCAGTAAGAGGGCACTAGAAATAAGTGATTATAGGTTTTAGGCTTTGGTTGGATGATTGGGAAAG